AGGACCAATGCAGACAGGACCTGGTACAGTCAGGACCAATGCAGACAGGACCTGGCACAGTCAGGGCCAATGCAGACAGGACCTGGTACAGTCAGGACCAGTGTAGACAGGACCCGGTACAGTCAGGACTAATGCAGACAGGACCTGGTACAGGCAGGACCAATGCAGACAGGACCTGGTACAGGCAGGACCAAGTGTGGGCAGGACCTGGTACAGGCGGGGCCAGGTATGGGCAGGACCAGTGCTGGAGCGAGGGCAGCCCCGAGCCTGTGGACATGCTGGAAGGCAGCAACACAGCAGCTCCGTTCTGTGGAGGAAGGTCTCTGGATGCACTGGAGGTGGAGAGACAGGGAAGGGGTCGGCTGGGACTGAGGCAGACCTGGGACCACAGCCTTGCTGCCAAGAAGAGAGAGAGGGGTGTTTGCGGGACCTGGGACATTGGGACCCAAGTCCACCTGGGAGGAAGAGACCCTGGGCCTCTGCAGGTCGGGGGCGGGCAGCCCACGACACCTAGCTCCAGGCCTAATGGATTCGCTCCTCTCCTGCCCTCAGGACACCATCACATGGACCTGGCGAGGACCCGGAGCGTAAGTCGTCCCCTCGTCCTCTTGTTGTCCTGTCGTTCTGTGGAAACATGGGCCCTCTGGGGTTCCCTGTGCCTGCGTCACTTTTGCAAATGTGACAGTTGCCATTTGGTAGTGGTCAGTCCAGCCCACTGTGAAAGCCAATGCCCCGTGAGGCCTATCCTAGCACTCTGGACTCGGGGATTTAGAGGTCTTGGGCTTCTGCACCCTCAGGAGGTCACCGAGCTCTTCTGTCCCATCCCTAGTCATCAATCGGTAGCTACCACCGTCCACCTGGTGGCCAGGTGTTCAGGGTGGGACTTCTGCTCAGACATGGGCTGGGTAGTGCTGGATGGCGGAGGCGAGTTGGCATCCCTGACCCCTGGGACGGCCACACGATGGTTAATGGCCCCACAGAGTAAGAAGAGCCACAGGGGAGCCCCGGATGCCCAGCTCCTCTGGGCCTCCAGGACACTGGTGTGTGAGCTGGTGTTTGGAGGGAGGAGAGGCGGGTGACGAGGCCCATGAGAGAACAGGGCAGCCCAGGGACTTCAGGGGGAAGCAGGACTGGGCCTAGGCAGGTGACGGTCAGGTGTCAGCCCTTCTCGGGATGAAGGGTCAGGAAGGGCTCCTGTGGGGGCCTGTGTCTCGGGCTTGGGGATGGCATAATGGAGCAGAAACAGGCCCATGCAGAGAGCTGGGAAGCAGGCTGCAGGGTGGGCCTGGCACTCTGGGGCTCCCCCTTCCAGAGCCACGATGCCAGCTGTACACAGAGGCCTCGCAGCCAGGCTGCAGGGGCAGTGCCAGCACTGGGCTCTGGAGGACGTGGCCTGAGGCTGGGTCAGGTGTCCATAGATGAGGTTTCCTGAGCAGGAGGGCAGCTGGAGAGGACAACATGTGAACAAACCCAAGGCAGGACAAGATTTGGGACACTGACGACCACAGCGTGCTGGAGCTTTGGACTGCGCTCCGATGCTCTGCGCCCTCCTGGAGGCTGCTCCCTGCCCAGCAGCGCCCTCTGGAGGGGTGAACCGGGAGGCACGGCTGCAGACTCCAGCCCTGCAGTCCTTCACGGGAGGAGCCGAGAGCCTTGTTAACCAGTGTCACCGATCTGTTCAATGTTTTAAAGGTTGAAAATCCTGTGGCTCACCCTGTGCCAGTTTCACAACCAAGTGGAAGTTGAGGTATGTGTGGTGGCGGTCTGTCCGGTGGTGTACATGCTTCCCCGGGTCTGTCCAGAGGCACAGAGTATCAGAGCAGCCTTCAGCTAGGAGCTGTGTAGACACAATGTTAAAACTGTTAAACTGAGGGCCCTTAATAGAATGTTACAAAATGGCCAGGAGTCTACCAGCATTGACCCGCTGGAGAGCCAGCCCCACAGTGTTACATTCTGGCTGAAGCAGTGTCACTGGATCTCATCCCTTTTTCAGGTTTCCTTAGAGGGGCTTCCTGGTTACTTTGCACCAATAACTTCATGTCTTGAATGATTTGGGACCATTCAGACAGGACTTTTTTAATCAATGAGGAAGCTGATCCTATCAATCTTTTATTATGGTTATTACAGTTTAAGTGTGTAGAAAGCTAGCACCTCTGCAATAACTTTGCTTTCAGTTTTACTGGCACTAGTACTGCTGAGTTCATCCTGCTAAGTACGTCTGGCCGTCCCCCTGATGGCATGTGGTTAGGGCATGTCTGCCAGGTCCTCCGCCCGTGTGTTGGCTAACCGCTTGGCCGGGTCCGTGCACTATAGGATTTTTCATGAGTGAAGAATAGCTTGAAAGGGACCTGAGGCAACGCCGTGCACAGAGTCATGGATGCGTCCCCCGCACCTTCCACAGACATCACAGGGCAGTGCTAGCTGGACAGCTGACCCAGCCAGGCTGCCCACTTCTCAGGGAGGTCAGCCCCTGTGACTGCAGAGCCCTGAGCCAGCCTGGCAGCCCTGCAGCTGGGGTGCATACGTGGCCCGCCATTGCTCCAGGAGGCACCGGGCCAGGTCCAAAGGCCCGGTGCTCCTGGTTCTGGGCAGCTCTATCAGAGCTGGTGGCTCATTTCAGGAGAAGAGACCAAGTGGCCCCGCAGATGCCTGTCTGTACATGCGTGGCTTGTGTCAGGGGCTAAGACCATGGCAGTTGACGGGACTTTTAAATAAAGCAGGAGTGGCAGCGTGGAGTTCCACAGGGAGCACCAACGGGCTCCGGGTGCTCCTGCGTGAAGCGGGTTCAAGGCGCCAGGGAGGGTCTTTGCCTCTGTGTGCAGGATGGACCATGTGTCCACAGCACGACTTATCTTAATTTCAAAATAGTAAGTGACAGAAGGCTGCCAAGAGTTCCTTCCAAATGTGTAGACAAGTGTAGTTTGTCAGACAAAACTGTGACCTTGGGAGGTGGAAATGCAGTGCCTCAAGACCCACCTCTCGTGAGGTCAGAGGTGAGCATGCAGAGGAGCTGGGCGTCCTAGCGGGGTGGGCGCTCCTGGTGAGGAGCTGGGTGGCGGGCATGTGTGTATATTAAGTGTGTACGTAGTAGGTGTGTGCGGTGCTCACATTGTGTGTAGTGCTCACATTGTGGGTATGCAGTGTGCACATGTGGGTGTGTGCAGGGTGTGCATGTGCAGTGTGCACGGGTGGGTGTGGGTGGGGCACTGCTAACCTGCCTGGGCAGACCTCGCCTGCCGGCCTGCAGTCCTGTCAATGGTGGCTCTGTGCGGTTGGGCTCTGTGCTGTTGGCCTCTGGCGCTGCCCCTGCAGCTGACCTGCCTTCTCTGTGTCCAGTTCCTCCCCGTGTACAACCCTTCTGAGGAGGAGAAAAGGAACCCTGCACTGTACGCCAGCAACGTGCGGCGCGTCATGGCCGAGTGAGTGAGCGTCCCGTCCCCGGCAGGCAGCTGTCACCCTGTCACACCGGGAGAGCAGGTGCTGGGCCCTGGCAGGGAGCACTGGGCCTCCTGCCTCGTGCCGCACTCGTGTCTGGTGGTGTTTCTGCCCGTTCACCATGTAGAAGGTGGTTAACTCTTGCTTCGTTTGCAAGTTCAAGGCTCCATTGGCACCTATCCCCATGTTTCTGCTGCAGCCTGACCCAGCCCACAGGAGCACCAGCCCTGGCAGCTCGGGGTCGGAGCCTTGCACCCAGGCCTCTGAGTTCACCCCCACATAGGCTGCCAGTGTTGTGTCCCCCACAGGCCAAGCACGGTACTTCCCGCTGGCCTCAAAACCACAGTCCTCAGGGGCTCGAGGTGGCAGGGCGGGCCTGTCCCCACCTGCTCTCACACGGTTCTGTGCCTCTCTGAAGCAGGGCCCGGCCTGCCCTCTCCCTCGTCCCCTCATGGCAGGCCAGTGATGATGCCCGTGGACCCCCTCTCCCTTCCTCGGGCACCGGCCCTGCTCAGTTCCTGACCCACAGGTCTGGGTGGAGCTCCAGGCACATCTTCTGGTCCGGGGCAGTGCCTCTTGTGGGCTGGGTGAGGGTCCTGCTGGCTCTGGGAGGAGGCAGGGACCAGGTGCCGCATCTCCTGCCCAGAGCCTCCTGTGGTCTCGCCCTCCTTGCTGCAGGTTCCCACGCCCAGACCTGGCAGGGCTGGCTGGAAGGCCGTCCTCTGCTCCCCACAGGGGAGGTGCCTTTCCCTTTAGTCCCCTGCTGGCCACACAGCTCGGGGAAACAAGCCTGCACTGGCCCTGTGCCCAGCTGAGCCGGACAGGGGCCAGAGCTGTGTACACCTGGGACCCAGGGAGTAGCTGAGACCACAGCTGCGTCCAGGCAAGGCCCTCCCAGCCCTTCCCAGTTCCTGGGCCCCCGCAAGGGACACAGGTGACAGGAGCCCGCCATGCCATGGCTTTTTGGCCCTGGACGCTGCCTCTGGAGTCAATGGGGTTTGCAGCCGGATACCGAACCCTGAAAGCTGGTGCCGAAGGGTTCGTGCCAGCACCGCTGCCTGGGCACCTGGTGCTTCGGGCCCTCCTTTGGGTTCTTCTTGTCAGTGTTCTCTGACCCCTGGGCTCCCGAGCGTCAAGGCCCCAAGGACAGGTGGGTCTTTCCAGACCTAGGGCATGTGCTCTGGCCACTGGTCAGTGCCCGTGCGGGAAGCCTGCCTGTCGGGGTGCTCGCCCTCATTTCGGCCCCCACCGTGATCAGCGTTAGGTTCTCACTTAGCCTTTAACCTAAAACCGTCTGCGTGAGTCCAGATCAGAGTGGTGACCTCGGTGGGGCCCGGCGCGAGGTGAACCTGCCTGAGGGGCCCCGCCGGGAGGGTGTGCTCCACAGAGCAGCTTCTGTCCTGGGGGCACCAGGGGAGCCGGCATGCGGTCAGTGGGCACCACGGCATGGGCGTCTGATGGGAGCTGGCTTGGGAGAGGCCCCCTCAGGCCCCCAGCCACCCGGCCAACCTCTGCACTCTCCCACAGGCTGGGGCTGGGCTTCTGCGCTGTGGACACACACGGCCAGGCGCAGCCTATAGATGCTCCCCTGCGACCGTCCACCCTGGTGCCCTCAGACGCCCCGGCCCCCTTGCCCAGCTGCTGAGGGGGACTGGCTAAAGTGGGGGGCTGACGGCCCCTTCCTTGCAGGGCCTTGGGCGTCTCCGTGACTGACTACACGTTCGAGGACTGCCAGCTGGCCCTGGCCAAGGGACAGCTCCGCCTGCCCGCTGACACCTGCCTGTTGGAGTTCGCCAGGCTGGTGCGGGGCCTCGGGTGAGTGTCCAGGGACCCCCCAAGCGAGGGTCAGGACCCGGTGCAGCTGAGGCACAGAGCCGATGGCCCAGGAAGTGACGTTTGTGCCTGCTCCAAGGTGACTTAAATATCAGCCTCAGTCCACATAGAAGGGCCTTAGAAGCCCTCTGTGGTGGGCATCAGCTGTCCCCCGATGCCATGGGTGTCCAGAGAACGGGCAGAGCGGCCAGCACGTCCCCTGTTGCCCAGAAGCCAGGCAGCCCTGCACCTGCTGGCCCAGGCTCTGCCTCAGCCTGGCGGCCGACGCTGGTCCTGCCGGGTGGGTAGCTGAGGGTCCCGAGGAGCCTCCGGAGGGGTGGCAAGGCCCTGGTGGGCTTCTGGAAACAAACCCCTCCTTATTTTTTTTAGGCTAAAGCCTGAAAAGCTTGAGAAGGATCTGGATAAATATTTGGAAAGTGCCCAGGTGCAGAGCCGGGAGAGGCTGGGCCTGCCGGGGTTCGCCGCCTTCCTGGGGGTCCCCGTCTCGGACTCACTGGAGGAACTCTTCTCGCTCTTTGACGAGGTGGGGCCGCTGGAGGGGGTCTTGGTGCGACACCGGGCTTTTCAGAATACAAGAGGCCTTTGCTGTGGCTGGAACACACCTTCCCCAAGTTTGAGAGCAGGGGAGGAGCCCCACTGCCCAGGGCCAGTGTCCAGCATGCCCCGCTGCCCGGGGCCAGCACCAGCCGGTCCTGCTGTGCTCCTCAGTGTGTGCAGAAGCAGAGCATCCGAGCCTTCCCTCCCCAAGACGTGCTGGTGCTGTGGGTCTCGTTGGGTGTCTGAGAGGCCCACACCACACAGCCAGCCCAGCTCCTCCCACGTCCCGTGCCCTCCTCGGTCACACACTGGCCAAATGAGGGTCCACGGTCACGTCACTGTGGCTCTGAAAGGTGCCTTGCGAGGTTAGGGTGGCGGGCAGGCAGAAGCCGGCGGCGCCTGCTCATCATCACAGGGTTGCCAATGGTGCTGTGTCCGTGTGGCCCCACTGCCTGTCCTGCGTGGCACGGCACCTCCTGTGAGCTAGTGTGCCGAGTTCGTGTACATGACGGGCAGCCTCAGTGTGGCTGTGGCAGGACCGGGGAGCCTGTGAGTGCCTGGGACACTTCGGTCTCTGGGTCATGGATGTCACCGTGCCCCTGGGTTCAGCCCTGGGGTCACATCCTCCCCAGCCAGAGGCAGTGCTGACGGAGCACGGGCCGGTCCTACTGCCTGCACCGCTGGGCCTTGGCTGTTCCTGCTCAGGCCTCCCGGAGTGGGTTCCCAGCTTGTGACAAGGACTCTTGGTCAGCTCTCGTGTCCCCAAGTGACCCATAGCGATGTGTGGGGTGTTGATTTTTATTTTCTGTTCTTTCAAATGCATGATGGTCATCTGAGGTCAGAGCATGCCCCATTTCACCTGCAGGGCCTCAGACCCAGAGGCCCAGCTGTCCCAGAGCTGGACACATGTAGCCGTTGGGTCTAGTGTGGGCTACACCTGCCTAGTGCCCAAGCTACTTCCAGAGACCAGCACCCTGTACCCAGGCCTTGAGAGCTGGACCAAGGCCACTGCAAGATGGCCACCACATCCCCTCAGAGGGGGCTCAGGACCTTCGCCTGCCTGACCCTGGGCCTGACGTCTGCAGTGGACCAGGGGCAGGGGCAGCCAGAGTGGCAGCCCTCTGCACCCAGCACTCCGCTTCCTGCGCTGATGGGCGTCCTGCTGAGGGTCTGGGTGGTCAACTCCGCTTGGTTGGACCTGGACCCCGTGTTCCGAATGCTGAGGTCTCCCCACAACAGGAGGGTGCGCAGAGCGCAGCAGGCGTGGCTGCTTGGTCTTCTGACCCATCTTGGCAGGCAGCAGGCCTTTCTCACCTGCTCTCCTTCCTGGAGAAGCTGCACCCGTGGCCTGAAGCCCTGAGAGCCGACCATGCGTACAGGCATGCACAGCAGCTCCCACGCAGAGCCAGCTGGCCGGCAGGTCCTTCCAGAAACCCTCTGCGAGCACACCGGCCTGCAGGGCGCCTGGTCCACCTGCCTGCTGACGGGCTGCCCACTGGGGAGAGCCAGCCCCTGAGGGCGTGTCTCTTTTGCAGAGAGGAGACGGCCAGGTGGACCTGCGGGAGTACGTGGTCGCCCTGTCAGTGGTGTGCCGGCCATCCCAGACTCTGGACACCCTCCAGCTGGCATTTAAGGCAAGTGGGGTCCCACGTCAACAATTCATGGGGACAGTCAGGCACCGTCACATCAGACCTGAGACACGGTCTTACCGCCCCTCGCCAGTGGCAGCTCTGAAGTCTGCGTCACCGCTGCTCTGGCAGGCACCTGTAGAGCGGGAGAGCATGCCCAGGGCCCTGGGCAGGGCCCACCCAGCCCCCATCAGCCTTTTGACCCACAGAGCAGGGCTCAGGAGTCAAGAGCCGCCCAGCCCAGCTCAGCCCAGTCACTGAGTCCTCCAGCCAGGCCAGTTCCTGCTGGGCCTGGACCTCCTCCCACCCGCCCGCAGGCCTGGGCCCCTCAGGGCTTACCCCGCCAGCCCTGTTACCTGGGGTGGAGCTGGGCCAGCTCTGCCCGTCTAGACAGGGTCCTGTTAGAGACGCCCAGTAGGAGCAGCTGGCATGAGTCAGGAGCCACTTGTCTTGCTGTTTCAAGAGCCCCCCTTGTCCCTCTGACTGCACATCCCCCACAGCCAGGCTGGGAAGTGCCTTCACGTGCCAGGGTGGCTTACGTGGGTCACACTGGGGGACTGACAGGGTGATGTCAACATCTGGCCCCAGCGGGCCTGGGCAGGCCACTTCTGAGGCCTCTGGCCTGCATCCAGGCCACATCCTGTTCTGACAGCCTGGCCCCTCTCGGGCTCGTAATGGGTGACAGCAGGTGGGAGGTGGCACTCTGCAGGGCTCATCCTCATCCTCGGGCTGGCAGTGTGAGGCCCCACCGTGGGTGGGCAGGTAACTGCCCTGGAGAGGACGGTCTCTCCACAACTCTCTCAGGGCCCTCCCTCGCCTCTGGGTGGCAGCACACGCCACCCTGCCTTGGCCGCCTGGCGCTGGGAAGTCACCTCACGTGCTGCCTGGCAGAGTGCAGAGGCACTGCCACACCTGCCCAGCTCACCTGCTGCCACGCCTCCTCACCCCGACTGCTGCTGGCACCAGTCAGGCTCTCGTGTCCCTGCTCTCTGCACCAGCACAGGCCACCACTCCTAATGACACGTCCTGTCCCTCCTGCTGGCCCTGACACCTCCCAGCCCTGGTCACATGCAGGCAGCCTGGTGACACGGGCCGACGTGGGATGCTCTGTGGCAGGACCGGGTGACACAGCCGTGGCACCTTGACAGGTTCCCCATGTCATGGCTCAGGGCTGCCAACAGCTCTGAGGACACAGGGCACACACACGAGAGCTTCCCAGAAGTGGGGCTTTCGGGCGATGCCTGCACCCTGGGCCCCCAGTCTGCTCCGTGCCCGAGGGAGCCCTGTCGCCTGCGGAAGCCCCCAGAACCTCCGGAGGAGGAGAGGGAAGCCCAGCAGTCCGCCGGCCCGGCTGTTGCCCTGCCCTGCTGCCCAGCCTGTAGATAACCACGTCACCAGCACTCAGTCCAGGTTTCAGCCTGGGCACTCCAGACAGCCGTCCAGGCCCACGGGCCTCCACTGTGCCGCAGTTCACGCTGTGGCCAGTAGGTGGGGCCAGAGGCACGCTGCTCTGCCAGAGCCCGGCCTGCGCTCCTCTGCTCTGGCCTTCTGTGGACTCAGCAGGGCGCTGGACCCCAAGCCTGGATTCTCAGGGCCAGTGGTGCTGTGGGCAGTTCTGGGCCCGGCTCTGCTCTCTCCCGTGTGCCCCTTGCTTGTCGGTCTGCTGGTCAGTTGTAGCCAGGCATCGCAGCCTCCTTGTCTCAGGCCGAGGGGCACCAGGTCCTAGGAGGTAGGAGTCAGGGGCCTGGACACAGCCCTGCCTGGGGCCCAGCATTTCTGAGAAGGTGGGGTCATGGCTGCTGAGGGCTGGGACATCTAAGGACGGGTCACCAGGCCTAGCCAGGAGAGGGAGCCTCAGTGACACCCCGCTGTTCCCTGTAGATGTACGGGTCACCTGAGGACGGCGGTGTAACCGAGGGTGACCTGTCCTGCATCCTGAAGACTGCCCTGGGTGTGGCAGAGCTTACTGTCACCGACCTGTTCCAGGCCATCGACGAGAAGGGGAAGGGGACAGTCACATTTGGTGAGTGGAGGAGGGGTCACCTGCCCCAGCAGCAGTCGCGTGGCAAAGGCTCTGGCCCAAGAGTGCTGGGAGGGTGAGCCCAGGAGACCTGGGCACAGGACCAGAGCCCCTGTCCCTTCCACTCACCAGCCTGTCCTGTCCTCTCACGGGGCCCCGCGGCACCTCAGAGGCACAAGACACAGAGCCCAGCTCTGCCTGCGTCGACAGTTCAGAGTCCACCGAGGTGGCAGGGTCTCCCCTCCTGGGGACACTGTAGCTACGTCCCCAGCAGCCACAGCCCTGGATCCCAGTCCCCCTGGCCCAGGAGTAGTCTATCAGGAAAGATGGAGCCTGGGTGGGGCGCAGAACTGTTGCAGGTGAGCTGGACACAGCGGTTCTCCCCTAGAGGACACCTTTGAGGCATCTGAGCAGGTGTCCTGGGTCCAGCATGGCTCCACTGACAGGCCGAGCACTGAGAAATGGCCAGGCTGGAATCAGCCAACCAACCCCGAGGTGCCTCCTCCCCTGTGGAGGGAGTGACACACATCGCCTCCTTTTGGGACACTCGTGGGTTTGGGCTCCTGCCTGTGACCCTGCGGTGCCAAGGCCCTCACCGTGGTCGTCTGAATCTTCACTCCTTCGACTTCTAAAACGGGTGCAGCGGTCTGTCCTCAAAGAATTGCCTTAAAGCCAATGAGAAATCCCATGCTCCAGGACACGCACCCACCTCTGGGGGTCCAGGGCGGAGCGCAGTGGGGACAGGAGGAGCCACGGCCTCAGGGGGCCCAGAACTAGTGACGGCAGGGATCCCCAGGGACAGGTCCACAGGGCAGGGGCACACAGAGCACCCTGGTCACCTCCAAGTCGGCGTGTGTTTTACTGAAGAAGCAGGACAGACATTCGCTGCAGGAGGCCGTGGAGATCTCGAAACAGCCAGTGTTCATGTCTTCTTTGGGGATGTCTACTTTAAAAATTATGCCCCAAGTCAGACCCCAAGTGTGTGAGCGTGAAAGTAGGTGCCAGTGTGTGTCTGTGGGAATAGGGTGCTCTCCCGCTGGGGCACAATGCCAGGGTCTGCGAGGAGGGCCCTCGCTCTCGCCAGGTCCCAGTGCCGAAGCGTGTGCAGTTGTGCAGTTGGCGGCACCACCTCCAGGTGCTGCCCAGCCACAGCCTCAGCCCAGAGTCCACTTCGCAGGTGCTGAGGATGGGGCATTTCTGTTGGGCTCAAAGTCACCAGTTTTCCCTAGAGGGTCCCCAGGACAGGGTAGCTGAGAAGACCAGCCGCTGTCCCCCCTCGTTCCTCAGCATGCAGCAGAGACAGGCGCAGGTCCCCTCCCTCAGCCTCTGCTTCCCTGCTGCCCTCCCCACGTGAGCCCAGGGGAGAGCCGGGGGCCAGGGGTCTGCTGCCCGAAGTCCGGTAACCGAGATGCCTCTGCTTCTTGCAGCCGACTTCACCAGGTTTGTGGACTCGCACCCCGACTTCGCAGAGGAATATCTGTACCCCGACCAGGCGCGACACACGCACTGCACACAGACCCCGCCCGGGCCGACCCCCAACGGCTTCTGTGCCGACTTCAGCCCCGACAGCTCGGGCTTCGGGAGGGAGCCTTGTTGTAAGAAACTGGACTAGGACAGAGGACCCGGAGGCCGTGGCTCCCTGCCACCCTTGCCTCCCATGGCCCGGGACACCTGGGTGCCCTCTCCTGTCGTACCCTGAGCCTTCGCGCTGCACGCCCAGGCCCCGGGGACTTGGGCTGTTGCTCTGTCCCCTTGTGAGCAGCCTGTGTCGGGAGCCCAGCCATGGAGGGAGCTGCGTGGGGCCAGCTGGGGGCCGCAGGTGGCCTCACCTAGAGCACCAGGTCCTATGCGTGTCCCCTTCTCTGCGCATGGCACATTCGGGGAGTGGCCCACGCGTGGTCCCAGACCTCTGCCCGCCTCGCGGGCTGCAGCTGGCAGTGCTGTCACCGACACACGGTCCACTGTGTGGGAGCTCCTGGTCTTTTATAAACTTCATTTAGGTACTTTGGAACACATTCAGCATTTTTTTAAAAAAGAGAAAATTGTTTTTCTACTTCATTTTTCTTGTTGGGTCAGAGCCTATTTGTTTACCAGCCCTTTTTTGATAGACGCCAACTCGCACCTCGGTGACATTTCTAGCAACCTCTCCCAGGAAAGCCCCTCAGGCCTGTGGGGAGGCTTGGCCACTGGCGTCCGGCCCCAGGACACCTCTTCTGCTTTCCTTAATCCTTTTAAAATCCCCTTTTTTTATAAAGTTACCAGTTTGGTGTTTCTGTTTGAATATAGTGAGATCCATGTCATCAGAGCTTAACCTCCGGTCACAGCCGCGCTCACTGGTAAATGAACCAGGCAGAAGGGGAGCCGGAGTGGTCAGTTCATCTCGAGTCCTCCCTCTCCTCCTGGAGCAGCTGACACTCCAGGCCTGGCAGGGAGGTCCCCTGTCCCTGGCCTCTCCCCCTTGGCTTGGTTTCTGTGGTGACTTGGGGCACCGCAGAGCCCCCGAGTGTGGCTCACCCGCCGTGGCAGGGCTGTAGGCTCCACAGAGTCTCCTCCTCCTGGGCTCAGGCCCAGGCAGATGCCCTTCCTTGGAGCACACGGTGGCCACGGCGTCTCTGAGCCGGCTCTGGGTCTGTTTGGAATCCGTGCTTTTTTTCCTGAGATGAATTGGGTTTCCCATCTGGGGCACTGCACAGGGAGTGACCACCAGGCCAGAGTCACGGGGTGGCTCGGGCAGCACTGAGGGGCCAGTGCCGTCAGCAAGGCCCACCCAGCTCCTGGCTCCTTGGAGGGGATTCGGAGGCGGCCTTGGTGCCCAGCCGTCCACTCACAGTGACAGGTAAAGGCTCATTTTTAGAAGAGAAAAGCCTAGAAATGGCTCATGAAGGAGGTCATAAACTAAGATATTCCACGGGAGGGCCGCGCCCGGCTCTGCCCTGCCGTCTGAAGATGAAGGGTTTTCAGGAGAAAATCTCTGAGACAGACTCGGAATGGATGTTTGTTCCTCCTGATTCTCTTCCCTCGCGGGGCGACCTGCGGTCTGCAGCCTCGCCCCGCGGAGCCACCACGTGAAGGACGTGGTCTTCTGTGGAATAAAGCCGCACATAGAGACTTGAAGGCGTGTGGTGTCCTGTGTCCTCTTTTTTGGAAGGGCGACAGCAGACATTTCCTAGAACCAGCCAAGGTGCAGTTCCTCTCCGTCCCTGGCAGGTCTGGAGAGCACCGTGATTGAATGCTGTAGAAAAGGCTTTCTTGGAGCGAAGGGGTGCTCCGGCTGGACTGTGCCAGGGACGGAACCAGGCGGGCGCGACACTGAGCCCCACCCAGCGCTTGTCATTTGCTGTCCTGGCTGGAAGCCAGACCACCCCCAGGATCGTGCAGCTGAGCTTGGCTTGTGGGGAGGGGGCAGAGCGTGCCCAGCACAGCCCCCGCTGGCCGCCCAAGCTGGCTCCAGTGCCCTCTCCCCCGGCTTGAGTCACACCTGCAAGTGACTTCTCCCAGAAGACGGGTCCACTTCTGGGTGACCTGGATTCTGTGCAGGCACAAACCCATCTGTGGACCTTCCATGGGGAAACTGAGTCACAAGGTCACCGTCCCGCGCCTGTTGCTGTGTGAAATGACAGCGTGCTGCCCACTGACGTGCATGCTGACCGCAGCTCGGGCACTCATCCGGCCACGCGAGGGCAACCCGTGGCCACCACCATCCTGGTAGTCACGAGATCTGACGGGTGTGCACAGCCCCCTCCTCACGCCCACTCTCTTCCTCTTAGCCCTGAGCAGGTGGGTCTTTGCCCTCCTACCCATTGTCACAGCCTCGGTCATGAGAGACCAAGGAGGACCCGAGGGCCTCGGGGCCCGAACTGCAGCTGCCCCATCTCCCCCTCACCAGCCGCCGTCTGATGGCGCAGCACCTGACTTGCCCCTGGTTCTGGAGGGGGCAGCCCCATTGCTGATGGCCACCTACACTGCAGTGGATCAGCTGAGGTCCGAGTGGAGGCGCCGCACCCTGGGAACCGACCTTCAAGCAGAGAAGCCTGCGTGGAGGGCCCGTTTCCCACGGGGCACAGGGGCTGTGCTGCGTGACAAGTGTGGCCACTGGGATGGGGTCAGCAGTAGCTTCACTGCTGGCTCGTGCCGTCCAGGGCAGGCGGCTGCAGCAACACCGCCCTTCATGTGTGTGTCCTGGGCCAGCAGAGTGCCCTTCCCAGGCCCTGCAGCCAGATGGCAGATGGAAGAGGGGTCAGAGCACGCCCTAGAGGTTGGCTCTTCCTGTGGAGGAGCAGGTTGGCCCACTCCTGCTTCACGTGGTCACACCTGAGGCCACAGACGGGATATGATCCTGGAGAAGGGGAAAGGGACACTAGATGGGGCAGCCGGCCACAGTGATCACAGGACGTGCCGGGGGAGGAGCCATGCCTAGCTCCTCCCAGCACGACTCACTGGATGGAGAGGACGGCGACGGGTGTCGGTGGCCCCTCGGCCGGCAGCACCCTGAGCCTGGCCCTGCGTCCTCACCCCACAGGGTCTCCAGGGGGCTGCAGCCAGGCTGCTCTGCTTCAAGTCAAAGCCCCCACGAGGGAGGGGTCACAGGGCACAGGCAGAGACTGAGGGGCAAAGGTGAAGCAGGTGTGAGACGAGCCAGGGCGCACCTGCACGCAGGACGAAGGCTGTGGGATCCGCCCGCCTCCAGGGGTGACAGGCCCCCTCTCAGAGCCAGGCCAGCCCATCCTGCACCTGCCCCTGACCAGCTGAACGCAGTGGTGACCTACAGGCCAGCTGTGGGCTGTCTGACCCTGTGTTACTGAGCCACCCTGGACCCCCGTCCCTCTCACGCCACTGGGGCAGGATTGTGCCAAGTGGACTCAGGGCTGGGCAAGAGGCACCCACCCCTCCTACCAGGTGAGACTAGTGGGTGAGACACTGATGTGGGGACAATCGAGGCAGGGCACCGAAGACAGCAGGAAACAGTTTGACTGCAGCCAGATTCAAAGGGCACAGCTTTTGCTGTAATCAATCAATCCCCTGCACCCCGAGTTCAGGGAGTTTCAGAGTTTTATACCCAGCGTGTAAGGGGAGGGGCTCAGAAGTTCACAGTCTGCAGAAGTTCACATAAAAGCAGCGTTTTCTCTCACTGTTCTGGGCAAGTTAGCCCTTCAAGGACCACACCTGAGAAGGGGAGAGCTGCTCCTCCCCCTCTTTCCTCCCCTGCCAGCTGGTACCATGGAGCCCATTTGTAACTTATCTGAGAAATGTAGACATCTCTGTGAAGCCCAGATCAGGGCCAGAGGCCTTGTTTGCACTGGGTTCAATTCTCAGCACCACATATAAATAAATGAATAAAATAAAGGCCCATCAACACTAAGAAATATGAAAAAGAAAACTCCAATGTCCAAGATTCAAAGTATATGTTTGGGACTGAGGTGGATCTAGCATCTCCAAAGAGAAGGTGAATGGGCAGGAGAACAGGCAGGGCACACTGTTCAGAAGAAATGGAGAACAGAGACAAAAGTGAGGCGCAGTGTCGGAGCTGTGGGACCTGAAGCCCCAAACACAGGCCACCTCCGTGGAGGAGGAGGACGAGAAGTGTTCCAAGTTTCGTGGTGGGAGCTACCCCAACCAATGATAAAGAGAAAAATCCTCAAAAATTAGCCAGGAATAAAAAAGACATATTTCATACAAAAGGTAAGAGAAACGCCTAAGAGCAGATTTCAGTAGGAGCAATAATAAGCAGGAAAGAGGAGACAATGGTCATCTTGGAATTCTATACCCAGCAAAAGCATCTCCAGAGAAATAAAGCCTCTTCCAACATAGAACAGCTGAAGGGATTCAGCAGCAACACGCTCTCCGTGCCAGCCATGTCGACATGAGACCTTCGAGGAGAAGGAAAGAGATGCATGTCAAAATCTGGCCTGCCTGGTGCAAACAGGAATCCCAGAAACCACAAGTTTTGTGGGTAATAGAAGCACATGTTCCTCACTATTGAAATCCCTTTAAAAGATGGTTGTCGGGTGAAGGAAGAGAAGGGAGAGAATGATGGTTGGCTACCTAAAGGAAAATCGACGTACACCCGGGATTCGTGGCATGCGGAGAGGTGAACTATGCAGCAGGGGCTCACAGAGCAGGCCGCACAGGAAGGACACTGTGCACGACTCTCCCCCACGGGAAGAGCATGGTGTCCCTGAAAGTGGACACAGCAAGTTAGCACACACTGTGAGCCCAAAGCAAGCAGAAGAGCACAGCACAGGAACAATAGAACCCAACCAAGGGGGGATAAAACAGAACACCGGGTCAAAGAAGGCAGGAAGAGATAGAGGAGAGTACGGAGGGAGAGGAGAAGACTCAGCAGGAGGATCCACGCAGGCCCCGCCATGACGACGCCACAGTAAATGTCATGGCCTGCGCACCCCAACTACAAGGTAGCAACTGTCAGATTGGATGTGCAGGCAGCCCTGGTGGCCGTGTGAGAAGCATGCTTGGGGACCAAAAGGAAGGCAGGCAGGGTGCGCTGGGCAGGCTTCCTTGTGGATCCGGGAGGGACACTGTCCCCCATTGCCTGTGTGGGAACTGGCCTCAGAAGAGGTGAAATCTAGTCCAGAAATAAACCCCTCTTTGTACGCTTCGTGGACTTTCTAATGAAAATGCAAAAGCAACCCAGTGGGGAAAGGGGGGCAGACAGCCAGACCAGGAGCTCAGGCCTTCCGGGACAGCACAGTGATCGAGAGTAGATCAAAGCATAAATGTGAGATCTATAATTTTAAATTTTCAGAGGAAAACTTAGGAGAAAAGCTTTGTGATCTTCAGTTTGGTGAATATTTCTTAAATATAACACTAAAAACAGGATCCATACAAGAAAAAAGTTGATAAATTGAACTTCATCAAAATTAATGACATCTGCTTTTTGAAAGATTCCAGTAAGAGACTAAAAGGATGATCTAAGAGTGGGGAAGACATTTGCAAAGCACCCCTCGGAAAAAGAGCTGTACCCAGGGTGTGCCAGGACTCCCCGAACCCTTGACAGCAATGACACGGGCAGGTGCCTGACGAGTCTCACTGAACAGAGAGAACACAGAACACAGAGCTTCCCGACGTGGTAGTCCTCAGAGAGGAGCACTGTGAAGACCAGTGAGTCCGAATGCTCCGGGATAAAGCAGCTGGCCACGCCCGGTGTCAGCGAGGCTCGGAGCAGCTGCGCTTCTCATGCACAATCCCCTGTGCCCCCGCGCACTGCTGGGGAGGCAATGGGCACACTTTGAACAACAGTGACACACACACCTGCCGAGTGATCAGCCACGCCTCCAGCCTGCACCCTCACGAACCAAGGGCTCACAGGAGGTCTCTGGCAATAGCCAGTGTCCGTCCACAGGTGGACAGTGTCCGTACAGTGGACACTGCTCAGCAGGGAGACTGAAGCATGCAGCAAGGACTCAATGTGAGGAACCAGGCAAAAGCAGACCTGAGCTCCACGTTTGTGAAAGCCAGGGAACAAGTCACTCATCGCTTGCGAGTCCATGGGGACCGGGGTGGACTGGTCAAGAGACCTCGAAGACCCCGGGTCATCAGAGCAGCCATTTGGTCATCTCCACTGCGCCGTGTTTCCACGGCCGGACATGAGCAACTTAACAAAGTGAACTCAGAGATTGTCTGCCGTTTACACCCACGGACGCTGCTTCCGTAAGGAGGACACACAAGGCCACCCAGGCCCAGGAGACAGCGGCCTGGTTGGTCAGGATGGTGGGATCAAGAGTGGCACTTCCACACCCTCTGATGTCGGGCTGAGACTCCAAGATCCTTGTGGCCACTCTAGGCCCCTCACCTTCCCAGATGCATTTTACCAACCACTAGTCAGTTTCTTCACAAAAGCAAGTTAGAATTTTGGATGGGACTGAGTTGCATCTATATTATTTGAGGGAGAATTGACACCTTAATAGTATCAAGCTTTTAATCATAAACATGATAGGCATCTCTTTATTCGGGACTTTTTAAAGTTCAGGAATAGATTCTAGTTTTCTGGCGCACAGCCTCACACCTACTTCATGCCTAAGCATTGTATTTTGAATGCTGTTGTGAATGAAATCATCTCCCATCTTATTCACAATTGATAGCTGCTAGTACCTAGAAATACCACTGGTTCTTTTCTTACCACTTGACCTACCTAAACTTGCTCATGAGTTCTAGAGTTATTTTGAAGATTCCTTAAGATTTTCTACAGAAGCGTCCGTGAAATCCTGCCAGGAGGATCTAGTTACCATTTCGGCTTTCTTTGGCGTCTCTCTGTAGCAGGACCACCAGCCAATGCAGTGGGACCTGCGCCTCCGTCCTCCTCTCCTGGTGGTGAAGAGTGGCTTCCTGGCTGAGCATCTATGCTAGGGGACTTCCTGCGTGTGTCCACGAGCATGGTCATCGCAGTGGGGCCCACTTCACAGTGGGTCGGCATATTTTGCACAAACACACAAGATATGGGCTCCACCGTGCCCCGTCTGCCGGTCAAGACCAGGGTACAGAGGGGAGTTCCCTTGCTGTAGGGGACTTGCCACTTCCTGGGTCTTCAGGACCTGCTGAGCCCACGCTGCCCATGCTCCCCCACCCTAGGGAGTCCACATGCGCACCGGAACTAACGGGTTTGCAGGCTGAAGGACGGCCAGCCGCGGGCTGCCCGGGAACACAGGGCCTTGGAGACAGTTTCTGTGGTGGCCCAGGAGCACTCTCCGTGGGAGGGAGAATGCAGCTTCAGAAGAACCTTCACTCTTACCCAAGTCTGAGTGTCTGTGCCCTGCGCTGCCCATGACACTGTGACCTCCAGAGAGCAGCAAGCCCAGGGGTTCTGCTAGGGAGGGCTCCTGAGCTGGTGGCATCTGGTCACCTGGGCACATGACAGACTCGAAATGCTTGGACCCACCCAGACCTGCCAAGTCTGGGTCTCTGGGTAGGCCCAGCAATCCGTGTTGATGTGCAAGTGACCGCTTATCCACGAGGGCCCGGCCATGCTGAAGCCTGAGAGTCACCTGGGCCTGAACCTCCTGGGCAGCAGCGTGTGTCCTGGACCTGCCAGGCTGGGCGACTCCCCAGGATGCCACAGGACACAGTGCAGTGGCACTCCCAGGTGTGCTGCACATGGCCCAAGCGGCCCAGGGGGCATGGCGCTCCCTCCTGGACACGCAGTGGCCACATGTTGCAGGCTGCCTCTCCCTCCTGGTCATCTCGGCCAGCCCCAGGCCAGAGGACCCAGGGAGACTTCCCCCGCGCTGCCCCTCTCTGTCTGCCCACTCTAGCAAGCTCAGGGCATCTTGGAGCGTTCCGTTCTCTCCTTGCTCACAGCCTGACTCAGCACGTCAGTCAGAGTGGCCCCGCACCCATGCCATGGGGAGGTGCCCGCCAAGGTCTCTTGGAGACACAACCCCGGGGACGTGCCATCGCCTGAGTAGAAGCAGCCACCACTGTCCTGGCTCCAGCAGGGGCCTGCACCTTAGGGTTGTCCTCAGAGTCAGGAAGGGGAAAGGTGCTCTCCAGCTCAGGAGGGAGCTGGGAGTCGGACTCTCCCGACGAGGCTTGTGCTCCCCTGCCAGCCTCCAAGATGAGCCTCACGGCCCAGCTCCCATCCTGGCAGACCCCACAGGGGTCCAGTCGCAGCTTCCACCTAGGGCTTGCCTCCCCCCACCTGCCACTGTGGGTCCTGCAGCCCCCAGCACACGTCACTAGACCATGAATTCCAGACTGGGAAACAATGAGCCACCAACCCGCCAAACCCCATTTATCTGCAGACGGAACACAGCCCAGCCCCGAAGGGGTCACATGGCACATCGGAGCCCCGGGATTAGTGCCATTTCAGAGCTGGAATCCGTCCTCGTAGGTCCCCAGGTCGCTTTCTGAAGTTCAGACACCCAGTAGACAGCTGCAGCTCTCTGGTGGCCGATGGAGACAGCCTTGGCATTTGCGATGTCTGCGTGCAGCGGGGTCTTTCCCGGGTGCACCCAGCCCTCCTTTTCAGGGTCTGGGTTGGTGAACTGGCTCAGACCCCTGGGCTGCATGAGGGGCCGTGTCTCTGCTGCAGTGACAAGTGAGATATCCATCAGGGATTCTCATTCCTGCATATTCAGTAGACACCGTGATTAAATAAGCAGCAAAGAGCAATGAAATGATCACAACGATACCAACTGACATAGCAGTTGCTGTGTTTAAGGTATCTGGTGGTGATTTTGGAAATGAATTAATGATAAAAAGAAAATTAATCCATGAAAAATATGCAATTATTATCTCAAGGGAAAACAAAAACTCCCAAGAAGGGAAATGAAGTCCAAGACAGTGTAGCTGAGTTTAAATAAAACACGCACCTCATCCAGAGCTCGGCCAGCACACAGACACCCAGGAGGCCTGGAGGCAGAGGACTCAGCCGGGCTCTGAGGGGGTTTAAGGAGGGAGGGCAGCTTCGCCCAGAGCTGAGGAGCAGCAGGCACCACCCGACTCTGCACACAGGAGCCTGCTCCTGCTGCCTGGGAGGCCAAAGCCCCTGAGCGGGGAGACACACAGCTCAGTGACCACAAGGAATCTCCCACCTGCTGCCCTCTTTGGGCCAGGTGGGGCTTCCCTGGACACGCTGTTCCATGTGGACAAGGGCAGTTGAGAAGTGCAGCCAGGCCAGCAGCCTTCTGGGACAGCCTCAGTGACATAAAATAGAACAGAGAAGAGCAGTGAGGTGACAGAGGACCCACTGCTGACAGTGCAGGACGAGGGCCACAGTGTTCCTGGTTGCCCTCAGCCTCTCTGCACCCTGAGGCAAGGGGCAGAGGCCCTCTCGCCTCACAAAGCCTTGGTCTGCTGGTCATCTGGCACACGAGGACTCCCGGGGAAGAGCGCAGGAGGGTCCTGCCTTTGCTGGAGTCCACAGGGAGGGCGAAGGCCTCCTGGGTGGGCATGGGGAGACGCAGGGCAGCGAGCTCTTGGACCCACGTGGCCTCCAGGCCAGCTCCATCTCAGGGCCCTGCCACACAGGGCCTGCTCTACCTCAGGGACCTGGATCTGTGCCCCCCTCCCACCTTGGCAGTCCCTACAACCTGGACAGAAAGCCACTCCCACGTAAGCCTGGACTGGGCAGCTCTAGTATCCCCTCATATGGCCATGCCATGTCCCTTTCACAGCCCTGCCAGCCCCCCAGCTTCCCAGAGCCTTCCGGGTCCAGTGAGACATCAGTGTCCAGCACCTGAGCTGCACTCCTGGAGGCCTCCTGAGGACACGGTGCTCCAGGGCAAGCAGAGCCTGGTTTTGAGCAGTACAGTGCCACCATCGACCTTCCAGCCACACTGTCGACCCCAGACCCGGAGGGGCCAGGCGGGGAGGGTTGCGGCCGTGAGCACTGTCCCCTTACTTCTAAGGAAAAGGTGGGTCCTTGGCTGGTGAGTCACAGGGGTTGTGATGGGGCCCCATCCTGGGCTCATGTGAGGTGCCTCTCTGTCCCTGCAGTGTCACTGCTGAGAGTGTCCCCTGCCCTTGAGCCTTTCCGGACGCCTGGAGCCAGCTCCTTTGTCCCACTCTGTCCCCTCCACGTCTTGTAGGTCCAGGTTAAATGCCTCAGATCGCTATGCTCCTGTGTCAGATGCCTGGTTCAAGGCACTGCCACCCTCAAAACCGCCCTTCCCCCACACCGGCTTGTTAGGCTCACTCCTCCTTGGGATGGACATGCCTTCCCCCATTCACATTTGAAGCCCTGATCCTGACCCTCAGAGCAGGGCCTTGTTGGAGATGGAGATTCTACAGAAGAAACCAGGCTAAAATGAGGTCACTAGGAGACCTTCACCCAACATTCTGGTGTCCCCATACAATGGGGAAATGGGAGGCGAACATGTGCAGGGGCAGCACCATGTGAAGGTGGAGCAGAGATCCGAAGATCCGGTGGCGCATCTGCCCTCCAAGGATCCAAAGATGGCAGCTCTGGGGGACACACCTGGAGCAAGTCCTTCCTGCAGTCATTCCTCCCAGGACCCAGCCCTGCCCACACCTTGGTCTCAGCTTCTGGCCTCCAGGACTGAGAGGATGAGTGCTGTCCAAGCCCCCCCTTCCCCATGGGTGGTCCCTTGTCAGAGTAACCTGCCTCACTTACACATTGGTACAGTCTCTGCAGAGACCAACTCATCACCAACATGGTGCGACAGGTGGGCCCCCGGTTCTCTGGAGGTGAAGGAGAGCCTGGTGTCTGCAGCCCCAGCCTCCTGGGGGCTCCCGACAGCCTGGCTCTTGTGATTGGCTGATCCTGCACCTGGCTCATTCTGTTCATCTGTCTTCACTTGAACTGCAGTAACACCAGGAGAGGCTCACCCCTCCATTGGCTCAGCAGAACCCAGATCCTTTCCTGAAGCTCTGACAGAGCGAGTCTACCATCTCAGCCTCCCGGGAATCCTGAGGCTGTAACCCTGACACCAGCACCAGCCTATGCCCAGGCAGCCTTCTGGGTCAGGCGTGGAGTCAGCTTTGGGTCAGGTTGCAGGGCAACAGCATGAAGCTCCCCAGGGTGGACAGGACCCAAGGCTGGGGGCAGCCATGGGCAAGGCTGTGTTGGAAGTTCCATTCGGTAACATGGGCTCCCCTGGGGACGGTGGCTGGTCCCCAGCAAGGGGAGGTTGCTCTTAGAGCCAGCAGGAAGCAACTCTGCTCTGCAGCTCTGCCTGCTCCCGTCCAGCGCCCTGAGCTGACAGCAGCCACGGCAGCCATAACAAAGCCAGCTTGACATTTAGGGCAAAGTTCCAGACATGCAAAGGTCGGCCACTTAATCAAATTTAATCAACTCATAACCAACCCCACTGGTCTACCTGTGCAAGCCCAGGGAGCCCTCCTGTTGCAGAGGATGGAGACGCGCAGGCTCTTGTCTTCTGTGGCCTGGCTGAGGGCCCAGCCCCCAGGGTTACTGTGCTCCAAGAACATCCGAAGCTCCTGTGTCCTGCTTCAAGCCATTGGAAGCCAGGTGCAGCGGAAGGGAAGGCCCCGGGGGGGGGGGCCCCCCCCCAATCTGGGTGCAGGTGACACGGGCTTCCTTCATGCCACCCTGAGCTGCACCAGCGTGACTGGCATATTCTGTCTGCATGTGACGCATCAGTGGAAGAGGCTGCCCCCTTCCCATATGCTCCCTCCTCCAAATGCCCTGGGAGGTCTGGGTCATGGTCTGGCCCTTCTGCAGGGCTCATGATCCCTTCCCACGTGTGGCTTGGCTGTGTGTTTTGTGTGGCAGCTGCACATGACATCTACCCCATGTTCCTTACTTAAATGACCTCCCTTGATGATATGCAGAACCTCGTCCCTGGTGAGCATCTGTCTTCTTAGCCTGTTGGTTAGGCCCATCCTGGGCTCGCCCCTCCTCTGGAAGCCCATGCTATTATTGACCATGCACAAGCAGAGGGGCCCCTCCCCTGGTGACGGTGGCACATCACTTCTCCACGTTTCAGGGACTGAAATGTGCCCTCCCAAAGGCAGGGGTGGAAATCCTATCCCCTTTGTGATGGTACTAGGAGGGGGGATCTTCAGGATGAGGGTCTCCTGGGGTCCACCCTCAGGGACAGGATTTGTGCCCCA